GCTTTTCTGATAATGAGCCTACACCATCTGATCTAGACTTTAATATTCTCACTGTTCAAAAAGAAGAAAAATTTAGAATAGATAAAGAAGGGCTCACAAAGGACTTCTTGTCTAAAGAGAATAAAGAAATACGATATTAATATTTAGCAAAATTCCCTCAAGAATTATTAGATGCTTTTCATAAAGGTTCAATAAGTTTATAATCTATTTTTATTGGATATAGCATATTTAAGAATGACATCCCTAGTATCATGGACCGGCTTAATCCTTTTACCATGATAAACGGGAGTTCAAAGCAATTACCGTTGTTGCAAACTGCAGCATCTGAAAGTTTATAATTTATTATCATTCTACTACCATCTGTTGTATTCAATATTTGAGTTGTCTTACTAAAATATTTTGTAGGAACTAACCCTTCATTTATACAGTTTAAGTCAGCTCCTGAGTCTATTAATGTTAGGGTCTGAAAACTATATTCTTTATGGACTATAATTTTTACTAAAGTAAACAATTTTTGGGTAACTACTTTATCAAGTAGGTTAACATAACTATTATCTTGTATGGTGCTAGATGATTCTGGTTGTTCATTTATAGGAGGTAAAGGCTTTTGGTATTTATTTATAATATTATCAAATTCTAATTCTTCATCAGTATTATCAGAACTATTTTCTTGAGGGTTAGAGGCTAACTCTAGGATTTGTATTCTATTCTTCGGGCTTATTAATTCATTTCGTACTTCATTTAATTTCTTGCCTTAATTCAGATATAGATGGTTCCTTTTGGGTACGTTTTCTATCTTCAACTCTCCTAAGGATCTTAGCAAAGTTATAATCCTCTTGAGTTATTACCAGAGGAGAGGGTTTTTTATTTGCTTTAGCCATATGAATGTATTGGACTAAGGCTTCTCTTTTAGCCTCGGGATCAGTTATTTTATCTATTATGTCAATTATCAAATTTTTTTCTTTGAAAAGTGTATCGCAAAAACAATTCATATTATTATCTTCTGATTCTGAACTACTAAGAATTAAGTCCTCATTTTCTATTTCTCCCACTAGTTGTTCAGTATCAGAACTGGAAGAATTCTCAGATGACTCACCATTTATTTGTAATATTTAAAATAGTTGGTTCCTAATATTATCATCTACTTGTAAGGCATTTTATTTTATTTTTTATTTTATATTTATTTTTGTAATACCCTACTTTGCCACAATTATAGCAAACAGGTATTTTCTTTTTTTCCCTATTCTTTTTAAAATTATTTTTTGGGGTGAATTTGTTGGAAATTTTTTCCTTAGCAGCAGCTGTGTTGGTACTTGATTTATATCTTTTATTTCTATATTTTCTCTTATCAAAATCTTTGGACATAGGCAGAGTATTGTAACCAAATTGTTCACAGAAATCTCATAATTCTTTTATGCCTGTCATCTTTTGTTTCTCCAGCTGCCTTTTCAATTTTAGAACTTTACAGAGGGCAAGACCTTCTGCACATATTCTGCTGACAATTCTCCTAATGTATATAAGGAGTATGGTATTATTCCTCCATGTTTATTTTTCAATCGAGTTTTGACCTTCGCGGCAAAAAGATGGGGTAATCGGGCAATAAATTTTTTTCCAGTAATCGGATTTACTATCTTCTCTGGAGAGGAGTCTAGAGAAGAACACATGTTTATACCATTTATAATGGGATAGAGTTGGGCATCTAAGATTTGAAAGAAGGTCTTCTGATCTTGCATCGAGCAACGCAATACTCCCAACAAAGTGGAGAGTAATAGTGTATATAAGAGTATTTACTAAGTATCACTTTCATTATTTATTATGTCTTAGCCAAATTCATTTTTTACTACCCATTGCCTTGTAGCGGCCAATATTTCCTTTTTTTTATTCTCTTCTATATGGAAATCCCACCATCTTCTTAACCATCCAATAAAACCTCAAATAATGGCTTTAACTATCTTTTGATCATAGTTTCGACTTATTTTGCACGCGGTTGCGTACATATTCATATGTTTTATGGCATCAAGTATTTGATTTTCAGACATACCATTGATATTCCAATTTACTATTGTTCTTCCTGAATATGATACGGTGCTAGTTATTAAATCTTCTTCAAACTGAATGTCTACAGGAGTAGGTATTGGGTAATACATCCTAGTTTGAGAAGTTGGTCTTACTTTCCTCCCGCAATCTATCCTATTTATTTCAAGGTCTTCTGTTTTAAAGGCTTATTCTATTTGTTGTATCTCACTATTAGACAGAGTTTCTTCTTGGAGTACCATGACATCTTGCTCAGTAGCTATTCTTTTTCCTTTTATACTTAATTTGGCTAGCTTTTTGACTAATTCGTCAATTAGCTCTTTATTGTCTTCTTTCTTTTTTATTCCTTGAAGACTAAATTGGTCCTTACTGAGCTCTGGAGGTGGTTTAAATAGTAAGGCCTTTTTTTTATTTATATCGGTTATCTTATTTGGCGGTATATTTTGGGATTTACTAATGATAGTTTCTATTCTAGTTGTTTGTCTTCCAATAGTCTGGAGACAGAGATTCATATAATTATTTTGTTCGATAACATGAGGTATAACATCTATTTTATGAGTATGATGTTCTGTTTCTTTTGGAATTAATTTGTAAGGGGAAGCCTTTGTTTCAGGCTTTTCTTTTAATACCCCTTTTAGGGGAAGGCTCTTTTTAGAAGGGTGAATACTTTGTATTTCCTCTCCTTCATTGGTATGAAAGGTCTGGTATTGGTTTTCTAAAGTATTAAGACCAAAATCTGGGACTGGTATATTCTTTTCTTTTAGAGTGTCTTAACCAGTCAAATAAT